CCCTGAGTATCAAAAGTTAGGCTACACCCATTGTTGGGAGTGGAAGGTATCGTGAATATATACATATGAGAGGAGAAAAATATCCTGGCTGTTAGGGTGTCAGGCAATACCTGAACCTGTGGAGGAAAGCTTTCCAGGATACCTACCAGTCTCAAAAAAAGATGTGAAAGGAAGCTGGATACCTAAATTTGTGAGGAGATAGGAATACTGACTGTTAGAAAGTTAGGCTAGTCCTGAGCGTTTGTCCCAATTTGGGATGGTTTACTTGAAGGATGTTGCAGAACTGCTCCTCTCCTAAAGAGAGCCATTACAGCTTAGCTGTGCTACACTCAGCTTAGAGTGATTCCCAGGAGAGATGTGCTTTTGCTGCTCTGCTCCAATCCCCTAAGAGAATTTCCCAGGAGACGTGTACATTATTTCTTTGTTCTGAGACAGATATGGTGCTGTTGAGCATTTCATGAAATGCACAGGCCACTGACTTGTGAAAAACCCTCTGTGATACAGTGCTTTCTTAATATATTTATTACACTGAGTTATCAGGTGCAGCAACTTAGAATGGGAAAAATTTATCATAGCCCACAATTCCAGGTAATAGTTCCATTCCTGGGAAATCAAAGTAGGAACTTAGCTAATCATATTGCATCCATAGCCAAGAGCAGAAATAAACAAATGTACCCATGCTGCCTGTTTTTTATGCTTATGCTCAAGGTTCTTCATATTTATACAGTACAGGTTGCAGACAATGACATGATTCTGCCCATTTTAGACACTCTTATCTCAATTAACAATTAATAAAATCCCATAAAGACCAGCTCAAAGTAAATCTGATCTATATAATTTCTCATTGATGGTCCCTCTTCACATGTGACTAGTTTGATTCAGTCTGTTAATAAAAACTAAGAATCGCTGGGCTGTGGTGGTGCATGCCTTTAATCCCAGCACTCTGGAGGCAGATGCAGGCAGATATCTGTGAGTTCAAGGCCAGCCTGGCCTCCAAAGTGAGTTTCAGGAAAGGCTCCACAGTTACACAGAGAAAACCTGTCTCAAAACTAAGAATCACACTGCCCCAGCATTACTGCCAGGCTTTGAGGAGATTTCTGCCTGCATTCAGAGCTGTGGTCCTCAACCTTTGTGGGTCACCATGCCATTGGGGGTCACATATCAAATATCCTGCACATCAAATATTTGAATTATGTTTCATAACAGTAGCAAAATTAGGGCTGCAGAGATGACTCAGAGGTTAAAAGCACTGATTGCTCTTCGAAAGATCCAGAGTTCAATTCCCAGCAACCACATGGTGGCTAACAACCATATGTAATGAGATCTGGTGCCCTCTCCTGGCCTGCAGGGATATGTGCAGGCTGAATACTGTATAAACAATAAATAATCTTTTTAAAAAGCAGCAAAATAAAAGTTAAGAAACAATGAAACAGTTATGTTTAGGGCTCATCACATCACGAGGAACTACTGTTCGTGCTATTGAAAGATTTAAAGGGTCAGAGAATTGGAAAAAAAAAAAACATTGATCTAGAGTGTCCAGTGGAACCCGAGTGTCTATGTTGCTAACTATGAAGAAGCTTGCAAAAGATTTTCCTGAATATCCTTTGCTCTAAGGGAAACTCATATTCTATATGGAAGACTCCAGATGTCTGGCCACCTTTACCCCCCACTAACAGCATATTATTTTAAACTACTCAACAGAGAGGACAAAACCCACTACACAGATGCTGATGACAAAGATGTTAGTCACACTGAGCTCAATGAAAATATCACTCTCCTATGGGTACTTGTTCTGAGGATGTTTCAGCTGCTTCCTCTAGTATAACTCTGTGTAGCTGTTTCCTGTAGACTCTTTACCAAGAAGTTGTTTAACAAGTGTCCTTCGCAGTCAGCATTAAGTCTATAATGTCTGGTGGCTAAGGAGATAAGGAGATGTAGGTTTTTTTTTAATTTTACATCTTTTTTTGGTATTATTTTGTGTTTTTCTTTATTTTTCATTATTCAGAAATTTTATTCTCACCCCACATACTATGCACACAATCCCCTCCTCCCTCTGTCCACCCCCAAGCCACCCCACATCTCACAAATGGAGGTCTTTCATGGGGAGTCAGCAGAGCCCAGCACACTGACCCTAGACAGGTCCAAGCTCCTCCCCACTAAACCAAGGCTGTTTAAAGTTTCACATCACAGGCACTGGGTTCCAGAAGCCTGCCCATAGAACAGGGACAGATCCTGATCCCCTGCCTGGGTGCTCCCCAAACAGTTCGAGCCAAACAACTATGTTCTGTATCCAGAGGACCTAGGCTAGTCCCATGGGGGCTGCACAGCCACCAGTCCACAGTTCATGGGCTTCAACTAATGTGGTCAGTCATCTCAGTTGCAGGAACTTATGATCAACATCAGCATATATGAATTGCTATGATATTTTTACCTTGTGTACATAAATTTCAGTAGGAGATCAACATTCAGTTCCACACATGGAAAGAACTAAAGGATGTCCAATTTATCAGGGAGAGATCTCTGGCTTTGAATGAAGAGGGTGCTGAAGGGCTTCCATTGTATTCCAGCAAAGGCTTCTGAAAGTTCAGCTTGACTTCTGGTGTATTATGAGGAAAGCTCCTTAGCAGGGAAGCAATGTCTGCTCTCATGAGCAGACTCTTCCCTGGACATACTACTGTATCCAGGAGAGCCCTGGCATCCTCTGTGATGTCATCTATATTGTGGCAACACCAACTGCCCTTGAGAAGCTTATTCAATGTCTTCACCATTTACTGATGAACATGATGGCATACTGAAGAGTCTAATTCAGAAAGAGAAGGAGAGGGTAGAGAGACTAGAGAGTGATAGAAGAAAGCTGACCTTCAGCCTCAGTGTAAAACATCAAGAAAGAAATGGTCAAGAGAATTTTATAATGAGATCTGTGCAGGAAAAGGGAAGCTTCCTGAAGGAAGTGGGCTTGAGCTGGATCTTCCAGTAATGGGGCCCAGAAAGCTCTAGTCTCTGGGACCCAACAGAACTTCCCTGCTTGTCATGGCTCTTGAAATTCAAGGATTCCAGGATATTAATTTTTTTTGACTCAGAGGTCAGGAACTTGTAAGGAAAATGCTTTATGCTGGGAACTTTTGGCTTTCATTCTTTTTGGAAGATAGGCATTGATGAGTGAACATGAGACAAACATTACAGTGGGAGGGATTAATGAAGTGTGCCCATTACAAACAGGATATCCCTGTACTTCAACCACATTGCCTAACTTTAGGTACTTCCCAGCTGCTCCTTGTTTCTGAGTTGTCAGTGAGGTGACTTGTTGAGTTTGGTGACCAAGTTCTGCCCTTATATGTCTTCTCCATCAATAGTTATATGCTTAGTAACTGGTCAAGATATTTGGGGAACTTCTAAATGACTGGGGTGATTGTGAACTATGGCAATTTTCTCCTGACTTGTAAACCCACTGGCTTGTAGACTCGGCAGCCAAGTTAAATTCTGAGTCTGTACCTGTGAATAAGACTGAAGAGGTTATCTCCTTGGTTATTTGGAGCATGTACTATGAGGGCAGAGAGAACCAAGTAGCTGAGATTACCACTTCCTTTCAAATAGAGGAGACAGATGTTATCCCCAGATGGGGCATCGGAAGCATGGTACAAAATAGTTTGGAGTGTCAAGTTGTCATTGGTAAACAAGCTTTCTCAAACATTTGATTATGACTCAGGGTGGTCTGCCCATCCTCTTTGCCTTGTCATACTTCAAGATACTTTGTGTTCATCTTTCCACAAGGAGCACCAGGGAGCCTCCATCCCATGAAATGTTCCTCACCAAGATGCAGGTGAAGCAGCAGGTTCAGAGACTGACCAGTCAGCTGCAGCAAATGACCATTGAAAGAAATTTGCAGTGAGATTGCCTGAACATTATCACAGAAGAGAGCATGAGAGTAGGTATTCTATCTTTTAAACCCTGTGGTTTCAATCTTAGGTCCACTCTGTCATCAATAATTCATTTTATACAAGGTCTGTGTTTCTGATAGGCTGCATCTTCAGGGTATGCCTTTGTGCTAAATCGTGTCTCTGAACTCCTCCCAAAGGCAAAACCTCAAATGTGGATAGGAATGACATGAGGACAAAGACGTATCTGCTTCCTCTAAAAAGAAACAAAAACAGAGGCTTTGGCATGAGTCATACTACTCATGCATTGAGGTAGTAATATGTGAGTTCCCAGAATGCATTTGAAGAGATTCTATCAAGTGCTGGCTAGTGTGAGATGTTAGTTGCTCTGAGTTTGAGTTGTTTTGTTACTTGCTTGGAAAGGCCTTGTGTGTTTGATTCTCCAAGCAGCAGTTGGAGAAGCCTAGTCACACATATAAATGTGTGGATATGTGGACTGAGACTGATTCCTGTTCCTTTTGTTCCTCTCTCATAGGACACACCTGCATGCATTTCTTCAGCATCCAATTGATAGAGTTCTGCCACTCTCAGTCATTCTCTCTTTCTCTGTCTCTCTAACGATTTCTTCATCTGACTCTTGGTCTCTCACACACATGTGTATGTGTTATGTATTTTTGATATGCTTGAGCATGTATATCCCAATAGTCTCTGCAATCAGGGATCTGTGGTTGGGCATGAGCAGTTCCCTATCTCACAGTTCCCAGGTGATACCTTGGTGAAAACTGGGAGCACCACTTTGAGCATTATAGTTCTGCCAGTATACTTATTTTAATGACACATAGATATACCCTTGGGTAGTTTATAAATCTGTTATGATGTTTAGTCCCATTCTCAAAACTGTTAATGTTATTTTTGTCTCCATTTTCACATGTACGAATATGGAAAATTTGTTTTTGAATACAGGAGAAACATCTTCACAGATTCTAGAGGGTACACACCTGTGGATTAGACACTAAGTAAATTCTTCAATAGCTATTTCAGCAAACCTCCTGAGAGAACTCATGCGGCTCCACCTCCCATCATCTAAACAGCCTGCTTCTGCTGGCTTAGGGTAAGAATAGTGGAATAAATTGTATGCAACTCTGTGGGTTTGGTCCTGGGTTTTGGCACCAACAATGTAAGTAAATTTGCTGCAACAACTGTGGAGAAAAGTTCTGACTACTTAGGGAGTCAGGCAACACCTTGAGCTGCTTAGGACAGCTCTAATTGCTGGGACTGCAAGGAGACTGTTCAGGACTGGAGGGAGAGGTATCCTGGACACATCAAGCTGCTCACAACAGCTCTGTCCTGAAGGTGTTTCAGAGACCTGTTTAGCACTTGTCTGACAGCTGGACTGCAAAAAATCAGCCCAACCCTGGAAGGGAAATATTTCTGACTTCTTCGAAAATTCAGGCCTGGAATTGATGGGGGATGATCTCTCCTCAGGATATAGCAATCCTGCTCCCTCTTAAGGGATCATCCTAGCAGAGCTCTGCTTCTCTGGCCTAAGATAATGCTTCTTTTGCTTCATTCTGCAAAAGGGAAAACTCCTGCAGAAATGTAGCAGTGTCCTCCAGCTCTGGAAAAAGGAGTTACTTTTTAGCTCTTTAGTGCTCTGTCCACTAAGTGATGTCTCAGCAAATATCTTCTTTCCATCTCCTCCTTACTCTGTTCTTTCAGCTCTCTTCTTTTTTTATTCACTGAGGGAAGCCTCAACAAGGATCTTCTCTATGCCAGTGAATGAAGAGTTCACATGCAAAACTCTTTACAGAAAGATTTATTTGGGAAGGTGGAGGCCAGGAGAGTAGCTGCCTCTATCAGGGTGGAGAAAAAAGCCTTTTGTCTAACTGACCATGGAGGGCAGATTACTCAAGATGTTTTTGGGATGGAGTCAACCAGTGTTTGACTTCATGCCCAGGCTTCTACTGTCCTGCTCTGTGATTGGTTGTTTTCACAAGTCAGTTGACCAGGGGCAGATATGGCTCTAAGCTGACTGAGCCAAACTGTGTTTCTTTATGCCCTGACCTGAGTCTTCTTTCCCTAGTCTTCTTTCCCTTTGGGCTTCTGGGTCAGGATGGTTGTCTTTAGCCAACCCCCTTTCCCTACAATAGCAAGTTTAATAAATACCAGAAGTTCCCAGTACTTAGGAAACAGGATGTGGCACCCCTGACATCCAGTAGTCTAGATTACACCCTCAATATCTGTGATACTTGAGGCCTACATTCATGGAGTTCTTTAAACTCTATGTCTAGGACCTACCACCTGCCAAATCCTTTCTATGAACAGCTCAAGATGGAACAAAAGCAGGTCATGTCACATATGCAGAGCTTAAAGAATGAGAACACCAAGGCCTCAGAGAAATAAAATAATCCAGCCAGGGAGTCAGTCTTCCCTTGTTTAGTGCCTGTCATTCAGGGCACCAATACATTTTTCAATGGCCATCTCTGGCTTTCCTTGTTGCTGTACTGCAGAGTCTGAATCTCTGGCTCCAGCTTTTCTTCCTCTTAGCAAGCTTCCTTAGCAAGTAGTGCTTTGACTTATGCTTCTCATTCTCAGCTTTCCTAATAATGAAAGAGACTGCTACTCCAAAGCCCAAAATGTCATACTTAACAACCTCCAAAACTACTATTTTTAACCTTCCTAATGCCATGACCATTGAAAAACAATTCCTTGTGTTGTGACAGTCCACCATAAAATTATTTTTCTTGTTGCTTCATAACTGTAACCACTATTGTGATCAATCATCGTGTAAATTACTTTTATGCAGGGTGTCTGAGATTTCTCCCCTGAAGAACTCATTCTATCGCCAAATGAGTCATGAGACTTAGAAGTCCAGTATGCCTCATGAGATGGGTATCATGCAGGGTCTTGGGCAGGGGTCTATTGCCATAGGCTTGCTACACCACTTGTGTCTCCTACCCTCACTCAGAGGGGATTTGTCCTCTACTTGCTGATGTTTCCCCATTTTCATGGTCAGAGAAGGGCAGATGGGGAATTTGTTTTCTTACTACAGGTTCTTGGATTTCTTTTGTTGTTGGAGTATTCAGAAATAGTATGATTCTTTGTGGAATTCCCATTTCTCCACTTTTGGCCAAGAGGAAATGGTCAGAGAACCTCAGACACAGAAAACACAGGTAAGAATAAGCAGCTGAGTCAAGGTTATTTCCAGCACTATTTCCTCCTGTAACATTAGGCTGTTTAACTTTCACCCACTTGTGTTTAATTCATCACTTTACTAATATGCACACCCCCCACACACATTGTTCAGTGTTTTATTTTCTAGTCTCCATGTGTTTGTATGTTTTCTATAGTTTATTTTTGTTCTATTTTGTATTTTTTATGCTGTGATCTTATAAAAATGAAAGTTATTTCAATTACCTTGTTTTTGAGAAGATTTGCTTTGCATGCAACCATTTTGAATAGTAATTGCTCAGGCTGATGATAAAAATGAATTCTGCTACTCTTCCGTGGAAAGTTCTGCAAATGTTAAATCAGTCCATTTATTTGTATATTGGTTGTTCATTGCTTTGCTTTTGTTTTGAAAACTGATATAATCATGTATTAAAATCATCCAAAATAATGGTGAGTTCTATATGATATCTCATATTTAGTAGTGTGTGCTTTATAAAATTGGGAATGTCAATGTCACAAGAACATGTGTTTATGGACTCATTGAATTTCTCATTTTATCAATATGTAGTGACCTTCATTTTCTCATTCACTAATTTAACTTTAAAGTGTACATTGTGGACTATCAATATGGTTATACTTGTTTGTTTCCACTTGTGATTTTCTGCCTATTTCTTTGGCACTGAAGTTCATTTGCTACAGGTACCAAATAGCTCTATGTAATAGAATGTTATTTAAAGTGTACTGCTTTTGTGTTTGTTGATTTTGTTTAAATCTGTCAAGCTATGTTACTGTGCCTGTGTAAAACACCTGATGATTTAATAAAGAATTGTCCAATAGCATAAAAGGAGAAATAATAGGTGGAGCTGCCAGGCTTAGAGTATGTATAGAAGGAGAAAACTGGGTGGAAAGCTGTAAAATCAAAGAGTCAGAGGAGGAGGAGGAGGAGGGCTCCAGGAGCCAGTCACCCAGCTACAGAGCAAGCCACAGAGTAAGAGTAAGATTTAGAGAATTTAGAGAATAAGAAAAGCCGGAGGCAAAAGATAAAAG